AAGCAGAAGTTCACTGGATGTGAAAATCCAACACAAAGCTTCTTTTAACCATCTGGGCTCTTCAATTTCTTATGTGCTCCGATAGAAAGAGTTGGTTGGTGTGTGAAACCAGACGTAGAGATGACCCAGTGTGTAGTTTATTTTTTATCTATAGGAGGAACAAAGAATGAGAGAAAGCTGGAAACAGTGAACTGAGGAGTGTGATAGAAAGAGACTGAACAGATATTACTGTTAAAGGTCACTCTTCTCTTGACAAGCGGTGACATCTGATGTGAAGCATTTATGTGTGTGTGCTGCCTTCTTTTTTTAATGGCACTCTATTGCTGCCATATGCCTGGGAGCAGCTAAGCCTGGCCGAGGCCTCTGAGGGGAAGGCCTTATGAGTCTAATAAGACAGCAGAAGAAGACAAAAGCTCCTCTGAGACCTAATTTGCAAACAAATAAATACGAAGAGAAAAGAGACGAGGGAAAAGCCACATGTGAATTCTCCTGCAGGAGTATTTTTCTATCCCAAAATCCACATTTATTCCTCCTCTTTGTTTTTATGGTGATATGGCAGAAGAAGAAAAAAAGGTTGTGAACCAAGAGCAAAAGCCGCATCGCTAAAAATGGAACGTGGATTTTAAGTGTGGCTTTTCAAACGCTGAGTTACAAGTTATGATTTTCAGTAGGGAATAAGTGGTAATTAGCGTGCTGGGTGTTGCCACGTGAGTGGGTGTATAAATAAATAGAGCTCAGGGGTGGGAAAGGCAAAGAAGCTGCAAAACACAACCTGGGTTCAAGAGAACACCACTGCTTCTGTCACTGCTGCCGTTCACATGATCAGAAAAGCCGAAGCCCTCTCATAGAGCGAAGAAGAGGCACAAATTTAGAAGTAGAACAAGCTGATTATTTCTCCCCACAGATGTTTGTGCATTTTACACATTCACAAGACTTTCCTCCCCTTTTTAGACCCGTTTTACAGCTTCCTTCTTGGCATGTATGATAGCTTGGTGAGGGAGATGTTGCACCAAAATATCTAAAAGTTTGTACTGCGATTGAGCAGCAGCACAGATAAAAGATAAGGAGAGGTTTGAAGCCCTAAGCTGTCTTTGTCCTATTTGATTTACAACTATCGGTGGCAACAATTCTGTCCCTGTGTTTGACAGGCTGCTTTTCAACCCGCCTTCAGCTGTTGCTTCTGGGAACGACTGTAAACCACCCCCAAAGACAAAGTCAGACAGCATGTTGTTTGAATGATCCGGGGGGGGGGTCCAAAAAAGCAGCTCTTACAAACAGACATTGAAAACAAAAAGACGGCACAAGATACTGAAAAGCAGTTACTGAATGTCCTGTTCATTCACACTACTTTTCACCCACTTACACTCTCGCTTATTATAGTTGGTTTTCTCCAAATGCCTCCATTGTTTTCTCAAATTTTGCTTTCTGACGGTGTTTAAAGGCTTTAAGTCAGACATTTTTTCCCCCCTCTACAGTTCTACTCTTACTTTTTTCCCCTCTTTCCATTAATACTGTTGACTCCTGGGCCATCTCATCAGATTACCCAGCGGTTTTAGGAGGAAATGTCAGGTCATACCACGCTGACTGTCTTTGAGTTTTGTTGACAGTTCCTTCTGACCCCACTGGCTGCTCCTCTGCAGGACGGCAGTTCTCTGGAGAAGAGAAATCCCATCCATCTCAGTTGCCGAAGAGGCGCGCATAAAAGACACCAAAGTGCTTCACAGTAATTTCACAGCCATCAGCCTTCATCACTATGAGAGGGCAGTGGGTTCAGGATGGTGCGAACCACGGGGCGAAGAAATGGACTCACACTCGGGATCCAGCACTTTCCTACTCACTGCTGCTTTCACACATCTTGAGACAGACACTCAAAATTTGCATTTACGTAAGCTCAAATATTCTTCCTTCTCTCTCTGTCACGACCACACAAAAACTTTTTGCATACACACACGCGCACACACACACACAAACATTCTTAAACATAAATGTACAATATACCCTCTGCAGTTTCACCATACCCGTCCCGTGTCTCTCACAGTCTGGTGAGTCTGCTTCCTCTCTCAGCAGACAGGAAGTTATAATGACAAGAATACGCACGGATGCACACAC